GGGAGAGATCACGTGGTGGCAGATGTCAAGAAGACGGTGCGCGTGTGAAGTGAGCGAATGGGCTCACCTCTAGTGCGCATGCGCTCCGTTGTGTCAGCTCGCGAGTCTGGAGTTGGGCGGGAAGAGGCTGGAGTCGCGCGCCCCGGCCCTGGCCCTGGCCCGTGTGGTGATTCATCCGGGGGGCGGGTAACTGCGGCGGGTGCCCGGTTCCTCCCGCCGCTGAGCCGAGCCTCTCAGGCCCTCCCCGTTCCCGCCAGGGTGTTCGCGAGCCCGCGTGCTGTGGCGCCGCCACTCGGGTGCGTGGGGCAGGGTCCTGCCGCCCTGCCTGGGAAGCGCCATTGCCACGGACGTGGACGCCTCGAGTCGCGCTTGTGTTGCAAAACCTCCTTCGCTTACATCGGGGCCCCCGGGAACGTCCCGACTCTGCCCCTGTTCTGCCGTGTCAAGCGGGTCCGTGTTTGGGGAATGACCCGGGGGCGAACGGGAGTCCGGAAAAGCTGGTGCCGAGGTTTGGAGCGATGTGCTCCCCCGGCTAATACTTCTCCAGCCGTCTCTAAGGTCGCTGTAATGTTCCTCTGACACCTACAGCGAACCTCCATTGCGGTCGGTCCCCCCTTCTGTGCTACACCTGCCGGAAACTCTAGCCACTTCCCGGCCGGTCCGAGAAATCCATTTCTGTTCACCTCAGTCCTTCTTCGGAGCAAGTGTGGGAAGTCATCTTTGCCCTCCTGGAAGCAGATCGCAAGTGTTTTGGCTTATGTGATGTCCAAGGTAGATTATTGCCCCTTGTAGGACTTTGGAACAACCAAAGGAAGGACAAGAGCTCCAATATTCACACATTTCATGCTGGGACAGGATCATTTGGGTGTATGTAATCAGTTAGATGTAGACTTTGAACCAGGATCCCTGTTCTTAAAAAAAGATGCTAGAGCAGGGCGGGGGGGCAAACTTTTTGGCCTGAGGGCCACATCGGGTTTCATAAATTGTATGGAGGGTCGGTTAGGGGAGGGGGTCGTGCCCCCCCGATCTCCTGCCCCATCCAACCCCACCGTTCCCTGACGGCCCCTCTAGGACCTCTGCCCCATCCACACACCCCTGTCCCCTGACTGCCTCTGGATTCCCTCTGCCCCATCCAACCCCTCCTCTCATTCCTGACAGCCCCCACGGGACCCCTGCCCCATCCAACCACCCCTTCTCCCTATCCCTAGAACGCCTACCCCGACTGCTGCCCCATCCAACCCCCCCTCCTTCCTGACTGCCCCCCAGAACCCCTGCCCCCATTCAACCCCGTTTCCCCCTGCCCACCACCCCAAACTCCCCTGCCCTCTATCCAACCCCCCCTGCTCCCTGCCCCCTTACCGTGCTGCCTGGAGCACCGGTGGCTGGCCAGGCTCTGCAGCTGCGCTGCCCCAGGAGCTCGCCACCCAGAGCAGTGCGCCGGCTGTGGAGCGAGCTGAGGCTGCGGGAGCAGGGGAACAGCAGGGGAGGGGCCGGGGGCGAGCCTCCCAGGCCAGGAGCTCGGGGGCCAGGCAGGACGGTCCCACAGGCCGGATGTGGCCCTTGGGCCATAGTTTGCCCACCCCTGTGCTAGAGATTTTTATTAGAGACATGGTCCTAGTTAGTAGCACACCTAAAATATAGTTCCAAGTTCTAACCCTGCCTTTGACACTGACTCCTCTGACCTTTAACAAGTCACTTCACTTCTCTAAGTGCAGAATGGGGATAATGATACTTATCCAGCTCACAGTGATATTGTGAGGTGTAATTAGCTAATGTCTGTAAAGCATCGGCAAAATGAAAAGTGCAAGATTTTATATACATACTGAGTCTTAATATATTAATTAACTCCAGACTACTGCTGACTGGGGACACAGAAGCATACAGTTGTGTTCTGCCTTTAGAAATCTAACATTTACCATGACTTAACTGCTCTCCTTTCATTCTTCTTCTTGGAGGTAAGTGCAGTTAGCTCTGTTGTACCTGGAGTCTTTTTGTACCCTTGCAGATTTTTAGACTGGGGTTCCCTGAAGTATAATAAATGCTTTGCCCACTGTCATGCTGGTTCCACATTGAAAATGCTTTATGCTCCATCTTTGCTCTCCCTTATCCACATCACGTGCCAGATACCATCAGACCTGACTCAGGCACTCACTAAGAAGCAGCATGATGAGAGGATGGCAAAATCTTTCGATGAATCTCAGATTGTGCTTCAATGAGGGCACCTCTCAGGCAATTTTCAGACAGAATAAATTTCCTGGAGTGTAGGTCCTCTCTTTATCCTTTATAGGTTGTTTAGCACTGGAGCAGTTTGGAATGTGACTGGATAAATAGAAGGCCAGTCATAAACTTAGTCCAGGGCTGAGATGTGTTTATTATAGACTTCCATCTTGAGGAGCTGGACATTGTTTCTCTCCTTTTGAAGAAGCCAATTATATGATGGGAGAAATAATGGAAATACAGTTTTGTAACACACAGAAAAATCCTCACAGCAGAACATCTGACAAAGCTCAGCTTCATTTTTCAGTTCCTTGCCTTACGGATTTGCTGTATTCTCCCCATTGAGGTATAGTCAGAAAAAAAAACTATATGACAGCAGTAAAGCAAAGTCTAAAATCTATTATCACATTCTCTTATCTTTAAACAGAAGTTACAAGTAAATTTATTCTTACTGTTCACATTCAAAATGACACAGACCATTTGCTCTCATAGGATAGAAACTGTTTGGGTATTTAGGAGACTGCCCCTATGTTTAACAGCTTCACAGCCCTGCTGTGCTGTACTCAGAGTTTATCCTGGAGGTCATTTGTTTCCCTTTGAATGATAGTGACATTATTGGGAGAGGCAGCTGAGCAATCTGTCCAGGCTCTTCTGTGTCACTGCTGAATCTAAGCCCTTCTCTATAATTCATAAAGAGAAATTACCTATAATCTTTTTATTATTCTCTTGTCATTGAGTCAAGACAGGGATTTAGTGCTATTTTTATCAGTTTCTGACTGCTCTCCCTTCTTCTGCACACTTGGATAGCAGGCTGACTCAGTGAGACAGGGCAGAAAACTTTGCTGAATATGGTCATTTTAAAATCATCTTCACAAGGGAATCTCTAAGCTTCCAGGAAAGCTGCAGCATTAGTATCTCAGTCTCCATTCCACCTGCCTCCCTGTTGCTTACTGACATAAAAACAAGATGGCTACAAAAACTGCTTAAGAGTGATTCAATATCATTAGCTTCAAATATGTATAGTGGTCAAAAGGCCCAATGCTAGTCTATTACTATTACATGTCTCTAACTTAAGGGTGTAGGTGCATTTAATTCACTCTGTATTCTCCTCTTTGGAGCAATAGAGATATGCCCACCTGTAACAGCAGGTGCTCAGATATCATGCTGAGGAATGCAGTATAAAAACCTAGAGAGAAAGAGAGAGGTTGGGTTTCATTTTACTATAGAACCAAATATGCCCATAGGGAGGAATCCACCTCTCTCCCTGTTGGATTAGGGAACAAGTCCCAATGGCAGTTTTACTCAGCTGCTTTTTTTGTCCCTCTAAAATATGCAGCAAGACACAAAATAACACAACTTCTAAGGTAGTTTTAAACTATGCATTTTCCTGAGACGATCACTTCACTCATTCATTTTTTGATGTGGTCTTTTGTTTTTACAAGATGTTTGAACTCCATGTATTTACCCCTTCTGGTCACTGCTCAGTTGAGGTAGTTGTTTTCTGTTATCATTGTCTACCAACAAAGCAATCAAAAATGCCAGCAGGTGGAAAAACATGCAGATAGTGGATATGACAGCAGCAAAACAGAGTAGAGTGAAAAGCAGGAGGGGTGAAAGCCAGTAGAGCACAACTCATTTGGGTGCTCAGTCCATAGCTCTCAGAAATCAATAGTTTTTAGATGAGAGAAGAAAAGGAGGAAGAACAGCCTTGGTTGTCCCACGCATGATCTGTATTATAGGTGGCTTGACGACATTACCTGCCTGGCTTTAGCTCCCTAGACACAGAACATGTTGGAAAATGAGTTTAGAATGGAAAGGAGGAAAACTATCCAGTCCTACCTCTGTCCCATATGGCTCTCACATTCTGTATACATACCTAGATAGATAGAGCACCAGAGGGCTCTTTGATACATGCAAGATAAAGGGAATGTTTAGTGTCACTTGTCAGCATTACTCCTGATACGGTTGGCTGCATGCATTGATGAGAGGACAATTGTTTCTCCATTAGGTTAACTACATGATGAGTCTGAAAGGACTTTTCTAAACAGAAGCAAGTTCTATTTCACAAAAACTACTGCTGATGTGTGACTTACGAAAATTGTTTGAGAGAGATCTTGGTGTACTGATGAAATAATATTACTAGTCAAAGTCTTTGATCAGTACAGAATACCAAGGTGAGGAAATGAATAACTGCAATATAAAGGAAAGTGAGATCTACAGCAACGGAAAAATTAGGAATGGGTGAGTTGTTTGAGGGCCAAATCCTGTTCTTAGTTGCAGCAGGGAAAATCCAGAGTAATTCTATTCAAATCAACAGTTACACTGGATTTACACTAGTAATCTACATGCACAGTGTTTGGTCTCCAAAACAACAAACTGACTGTTTGGGTGGCAAATTAACCACCAGAGGGCACCCATGCAGTCCCATCAAAATATTGAACTGGACAGAAAAATTCATGTCACAATGTATAGGGGCCTATGAAATTCAAACAGAACGACTCCCTGGGCTCTATACCAAATTGTGACTGGCTATAACACTTAATGACAGGCAGATTTTGTATTTGGTGTGTGTTGTTGCTTTGACAAGGATACCATGAAGCAAAATGGGGGCTTTTCTTCCCTTTAGGCTGCATAGTGCCCTATAACTAGTCCCTTGATTTTTGTATGTTATGTTAGAATGAGAGCTTTGCCCTGTTGGATAGACAGCTACTAAAAGAAAACTTAATAAAAGTATGATTTCATGTGCAGATGAAGCCATGGTTTCCTACACCAAAGTTCAGCCACTTTGTTTTGGACTTATCATCATGGAAGCCTTGCTTGAAAACAATTAAAAGGTATGTTCAGTCTTAAATCAACTCTTCTGGTCCCAATGCAGTTGACGAAGGAAATTTTGAAATATAAGCTTCTCTGAAATCAAATAAGTTCCTCAACTCAGAGCAAGCTTTCCATGAAGGCACATTTTCAGGGGAAATCCAGTAAGAATTAATTCATTTTCCCTCACTACAGAGGAGTCATCCAATATTTGGCAATACACGTCTCCTGACTCAGCACACCTACTAGATTAATTTTTTCTGTATGATTTGAGAGTGACTCGGTCTGTGCTAAAACACAAAAATAGTGACTACAGTTCTGAGGTTTTGAATTGCCATTGCAGGGCCCTATTTCCCAGAGAGTTTTGTCCTGTACCGATAGTAACAGTTGTGCTTTTATTTCTAACATGGCTGGGGAATCACAATCCTTAGGGATGTTAGTGACAGAAAGTGACTGTGAGTTCTCTCTCTCTCAGATCTTTCCAACATGTTGCTAAAAGACACTGTCACTAATTACATAGCTGAGTCTTTCCACTATATGAAATTGTTTTGCATGCAACAGATTGACACATCCCTCACAGGAAATTCTGAAGGCCATCCCATCTTGTATCAGATCTATTTACACTTTCCCCTCATTCTTTATATGCATGAACACAGGATCTTGATGGCTTAAAGGGTGAATTCAGATGCTTTCTAAATAAATTAATAAAAAAAACTGTTCAATATCCTAAATTATTATCAGGAAAAATGACTAGACTTGCAAACTACAAATGAATACATTTTAAAACAAAATATTTGATTGTTTCCTTTCTACTGACGTTCTAAGGCTTCAGTTCAGGGTACAGTGTTTCTCTTGCCTCAGACTCACTGACTGTTTAAGGTGCATGAAGAAAGCAGCTCCCTGTTCTATGTGATTTGTTAGTGATGCCATCAGCTATAACAAGTGAAATAGAACCCTGGAATCAACTCCTGGCTGAGTAGATCCTTACTCTTCTCAGTCGTGGCATACCCCTCACATTGCCTCTCCAAAGCCTTCCTAGTTTAGGATATTAATTTCCTATTCCATATTATAAGTAGCCTTACTAGTTTTCTGCTGCAGCTCTGACAGTTTTCTAAATGTCATGGGACATCAATGTCTTCAGTGCTTTCACTCTTCAGATTCTTTCTACATGCTGGTACATGCCAGTATGTTTCAATGGATTAGGCATGGCCCACTTATAAAGAACAGATATCATCATTATTTATCTAGAGCAACATAGAAACATGCTCCCTGCCCCCAAAGAGATTAAATTCTAATGAAGGTAAATCATCATGACCTAGAAGAGCCATTCAGGAGAAGGAGAGAATTACTGATGAGAATGAAAGGGGGAGGATGGTATGAAGTGGTTGATTTTAAGGAGATCTGAAGAAGAGGGAGAGTGGTGGATGAGGACAGGGTAAGGGATGGTTTTCCAGGTGAAGTGAGCAGCATGATAGAACCAAGAAAGGTGATAAAGGGAGCCCTCCTGTTTAGAGAGGCATCACATGGGGCCAATCCTGTCACAGAAGAGGAACTTCCTGCAATCAGCCCCATTCTCAAAATTCTAATCCAAAGTGAAATGGACCAATTTGAGAGCAGGCACAATGCCATCCTACTGCATGGTCATGAAGAAAGGCATATTGGAGGCCATGAATGTGCATCAAGTTCTTTTTGCTGACGGCAAGATTCCCAGCTGGGAATGCTGATGGGGGGGGGGGGGTGTAGGGCTTTCAGAGGCACTAGGGTTCTGCACCCATGCCTGAAAAATCCATAATTTGGATTACTTTTATTTTAAGCGGAAAAAAGCATTCATGTATGTGCCAGTCTTACTATGGAGAAAGCAACAGAGAGTCCTGTGGCACCTTTAAGACTAACAGATGTATTGGAGCATAAGCTTTCGTGGGTGAATGCCCACTTCGTCAGACGCATGTGATCCAGACTAACACGGCTATCCCTCTGATACTTACTATGGAGAAAGAAAGAACAGGAGTACTTGTGGCACCTTAGAGACTAACAAATTTATTAGAGCATAAGCTTTCGTGGGCTACAACCCACTTCTTCGGATGTATATAGAGTGTTAGTCTCTAAGGTGCCACAAGTACTCCTGTTCTTTTTGCGGATACAGACTAACACGGCTGCTACTCTGAAACCTGTTACTATGGAGAGAGGCTTCTCAGCAGAGTCTATCCACTTTCTGCTGCTGTAGAGCCAAAGATAACAAGTTTTTGCCCTTCCTCCATCCAACTTTAATCTGAACTGGTGGACAGTTGTGAGGAACCATTTGCTCTGGTCTTCTGTACATGGTAAGAGCATGTGATCTGGAGTCTGAAAAGAGGCCTTGTTTAGCAGATTATTTCAGCAACTAGACACCCCACTCTTCATTGGAAAATTGCCCCTGCACAAAGTATTTTTGCGAATATTAACTTAAGTTCCATTTCAGATGAATGGAGGGAAAAACTAGACGATCCCATAAATCCTGCTGATCTTGTCAAAGTTGTCAGATTACCACCTGATAAAGCTCCTAGCTCCTAATGATTACAGCCATCAACCAGAAAGGAAGTGTATGTGGATAGGGCTTTCAGGGAGAGTGCCAGGGTTAGACATTGTTACACTGTTAATGTAGTATTATCTAGGGGCTCTTTGGCTTTAATGAAGGGTGAAGCTTTGATCAAAGTTCTTTCTTTAAAAAAAAAAAACGCCCAAAGATCTAGAGTTATATTCTACCCATTGTCCTATCACCAAGATTAATGCTGACTGCCAAATTTTAGTAAAGGTCTTCTTTGGTTCCAGTTGCTGGTATTAGGAGTCCATGGAGAGAATGTCTCTTCACATATAAAAGATGCTATTGATTTCCTGTTACTATTATCCTGAAATATGCACTGTGTGTCTATGGAGCAGTGACAGTCCTCCATCACTAGAATTATGGGAATAGAATGGTTATTGAATCTCTTGCCATAAAATATAGTCTCTTTTTTTCTTCCAAAATTTGCCAGCCCCCCAGCGAATCTTTCACGTTGTCTTTTTGAGCAAATTGATTTTTCATTTTCACTTTGTAGGCCTATATTTTTTAATTTGGTTCATCTGTGATATGAAATTGTGTCTTAACTTTAAGTAAAGTCTGTTTTTCTGGAGCAATGTTATGGCTTCTGTCTCATAGAAATAAAGTATGATTTTAAAATTCAGGACTTAAAAAAAAAGTAAATTTGCATGTCACATGTCATTTCTTTGTGCAAGATACAGGCCCTGATTGCTCCCTCCTTCCAGGCAGATCTTAGAGGATGTTGACAGCATTTTCAGCTGCATGCTGGTAAATATTGGGTTAGTGCCTGGAATCAACATAGTGCAGGCTGATCAGAGAATTTCAGTTGAATGCCTCTGTAGCAGAGGACACAACTAGCAAAAAACAGCAGTCCAGGGAGGGATGGTCTTCAAATCTGAAAAAGCAAATTAAGTAAAATATTATTTTCGCTGTTTGTGTTCCTCTGTGTTGCAGATGGAAGATTATGGAACCTTTTCATTTTAGTGATGAAAAAACAAGATGAATTCATATGTGACTGGTAGGATGCCAAAGCCAGAGATGACAGCACTTCTGAGGGAATGAGGGGCAGTAAGGAAGATAAAAGGTACAATTAACTGAGCTCTCTTTGGAGTGCTGGAGAATTCATCTACCCCATCCCTCTGGCCAGACACTGTAGTCACCTTTCCTCCTCAGGCAGGTGGGGAATAGCTCAATGCATACATCACTGTAGCTATTTCTTTTGCATTTCTTCTGCTCTTCAGGTGAGATGCCACCACCCAAATGAGGAAGAATTAGTTTTTCATTCAGAAAATACCCTCTTCAGTTCCAGACTAGGTCATGTTGGTGCCCCTCGCTCCTGATCTGCATCTCTCTCTCTCTCTCTCTCTCTCTTCTCTGACAATGCACCTTCTAATTCCAGGCCTGGCCCTTTTCTCAGTAGGCTGACAATCATGACATTGTTTAGTGACATTTTGTGATGGGAACAAAAAGGCAACTAGGCGATGAGGCCAGCAAACTCATTTCACTTGTATCCAATGGAAGCCTCCAGAGGGAAAAGGTTAGTGCACTGCTCTACTGTGTCATCGTCAGACTTAGTAATATGTATTTGCTCCACACAGTATAAAATGTTAAAACTGGCCTGAAAACAGCAGTAAAAATTACTTTTTATGTCTCTGACACTTCTTTCTTTCTTTATTTCTTTTTTAAACAACGTTTTATGTAAACACTTTTGAGATGCCCAATGGAATAATTTCTTATTTGCCATTTCATTCTGAGAAATTATCTTTATAACTGAGGCAGGATGGTCCGCTTAGGGATTAGGAAATAAACAGATTTAATCACACCTGCAGAAGACCAAATAGTGGAAGGGCCTTCATAATGGGCATCCAATGCCAGCAGAAATAGCTGAGGCAACTGATAGGAAGCAAGAAAATCCTTATTAGTAATGTAGTCCTCCTTGGAATATATTCATGCTTACTTATGGGGAAAATATTTTCATCTCACAAAAGTCAAAAGCAAAAGTTCTCCTTGAAAATATTCCAGGAGTGTAATAATTATCTGCTTGCTGTCACCCTGTGTGTCATCTCTTCTTGGCAGCAGGAGTGCAGGGCAAAGGGGCATTTCTGTGGTAAGCAAAAGGTATGGGGAGCAAGAGAGACAGACTGAGGGGTGAAAAGCTTGGTATGTTTAAATAATAAGGGTCCAGTTTACTGATAGACCTCTGCAAACCAGAGCACCAATGGGGGACTTGTCATAGTTAAGCTTCTAATACCAGCTGTAACTTTTCCTTTTGTGAAACTATTTTCAGCCAGTGCATGGCCTGGTGCATTGCACGAAGAGGGACAAGAGGAGTCTACAATCTCTTCAAAGTTCTCCTTCCGGCATCAATTCTCTCCTAGAAAGAGATTGCTAGTGTAGTTTTGAATATGTCAGAGGTAGTTTCTTCAGCTTTGGTGTTACCAGCACGTCTGAAAAATCCAATAGCTCAATATGCACACAAGGTATCTGGGAAGGGAATTGTTGGCCTTTTGGTGACCTCTGGCACCTGAAACTCTGCTGATTTAGTAGTTTCCCACAAAAGTGCAATTTGTGCTGCAGTGTGGTATAAGCCCGTAAACCCATCAAGTGTCTTGCACATTTCAGCTGAATGGATTGACATCCATAAAATGAACACTGGAATGTACACTCAGTTCTCTCTTTCTACATTAAAACACTGCATTTAGCTGTGAGGAGCCTTTTTCAGACTCCATATAATTTATCATAAAACCAGCCTCATATTCTGCTTTGGAAGTGAGGAACCTATATTAATTAATTGTTATGCAGATCTTATGTTCCATTTATAGCCCATAGGATTTTAGGATTTAGTAATGGGTGAAAACTGGGCATTTGTGTTCACCTCCGCAGCCTCCACGTAACATTCAAAATTAGTCAAATTTATTCCTCCAGGGATTTACTGTTTTACCCCATGCTCCAGGACAAACTGCCCCACTCTGATTAGAAAAACTGTTCTACTCCATAGGAGTATTATCTGAGCATTAGTGCAGTGTATTTTGTTTCCACTTGATAAATTACTTACACATTAGGTGCTCCATACAGTAGGTCCTGTAATTCTTGTTATGTTTAAGGTACTTTGTGATACACGGGAGATAATTAACTTGCACCATTTTAGTGCAAAAATATATGTTGATCTAGGTCACATGACAAATGTAACCATTCAGAGTTTAAAATACTATTATTTAAAATTTATTTTCTTCTCAAAATGGTTTATGAAATTATCATTTGAATAATTCACTGCATAGTTAGACTATATTATGTGTTGGTTCAGTTCCACATTTGGTAACAACAGAGCTGAGATTGCAATTGCAGTTAAAATAAAAATTGAGTGACAGAAAAGATTTATTATAAATCCTTATTTTGGGAACTTGATAACTTTGCTGGTTCATATTAGGCTAAACTTCAGAATATACACTGACAGCCTTGATGTATTTTTTCAGTTATTTTTATAAAATCCAGTATAAGTCCATTAAATCATTTGTGAGTTTTAGAGCATTTTAAACTAAACCAAGTAAATTGTAAATCTCATCAAAATGAGGCACCAATAGTACTGGCTAGACAAAGAGAGGTATAGTTTCACCACACCATTCTGCCAATTTACCTCAGTCCTAATCTCCATCCCCCCCCCCCCCCCCCCCCCCCACACACACACCCTGTGCCCACTATTCCAGTCCACACTCTGCCAGGGCATCTGTCTTGACCTGAAGACTTCTACTATTCCAGTACTAGAATAACCTGTAGTATCTGGGAAAGTAGGAGGAGGTTTTTCAGTATCCAGCATAATTTTGCTAATTAGTTCCATATAGTTTCAAGAAATTTTACTACTCTTGCCACAGGAAATGGAATTTAAGGAAAAGACTTGGTGCTATTGCTGTCAGTCAGCCAATGGCCACTAGCCATGATCAACAATGGCTCTGCCAGCTCCAGTATCAGGGCATGTGCTGTCAAGTCAGCAGTGTTTGGAATACTCAGATATAGCCATATTTGGCTTCTGTATAAATCACTTATTCTGGCATTTTTGAGCTTTTTGTGTTGCAAGCTCTTTACTGTTTCTTTTATTCTCCAGCTAGTGATATTATATATGACCCTTTGCACATACAGTTGCCTTTCAATAGCCTCCTTTTTCTCAAGACTTTGTCAGTCTTCAGTTCTTGTAGTTTTAGAGGAAGCATTAAATAAATCTATACATTATTTTCACTGACTGTCGTGCTACTACTTATCTTCCTTGAGTTAGCAAGAGAACACAGCACTAGGCAGCGGTCTGTTGTTGAGCATTTAGGTGACGCAATCTGATTGTAGAAACTAGAAAAGGAAAAAAACTTTCATCAGTTAGTTGCCTCTAGTTCAGTATTTTGTAGCTCTGTGTTACCATTTGTTGTGAATTATCTTGCTCAGACATAGGTGAAACTCTTCAAAGTGCTGCATGTTAGGCTCATATGTAGCCCATGTGTCTCACAAGCATACAATAAAGAAATGTGAATGACTCATTTGTATACTTTGATCTTAATGTTCAGTCTGATTTCTCTCATCTTCCATAAACTATTTGTCAGTCAAAGTTTTAAGACATTGTATCTGGAGATTTCATCCTCAATCACAAATACAAGACAGTTGCTGCCAAGACACATGAGGAGCAGTTAGCCTTTCTCCAACTTGGAAATATTTGGTGTGACATAAAATGTTCCAAGAAGTCATGGACACAGGAGCTTTATAGATGAATAAGGTGACATTTTATTAAATAACTTATCCCTAATGTACTCAACATTTCTATTACTACAAAGGGAGTCTAGAAGTACTTCCTCCAGGAAGTTACAGACATTGCTCATTAACATTGAGGAGTCCCTCAAAGCAGTCTTTCACTTCAGTATTTGAGGTGTTGGCTCCAAATGTTCACTCCTGACAAATTTGCTATGAACCATTTAAGCATGTTTGCTGCAAATAAAATAGGAATATTGTCACTGAACATTCTAATTTGAAAATATGAATCTGTAGAGATACTAATATATTAATACCTGCCTCATAACCTGTTTCCAACCATTCTATTTCTAAAAATAAAATAAATTATATTTCTTTCATAAACTGGCAGCTGATTAGCACAAGTGAAGAACAAGACTTTTTTTTTTTTTTTTAAAGAGAGCCGGACAGACATAATGCAGCTTTCTCATAATGGATAGTGGATAACTGGTCCTCCTGCCCCAGTGTCCATTACACAGAACCAAGGGGCTTGATGAGTGATTGATTTATAATCATTTGATAAATGTGGGCTTTTGAAGTCAGTGCACAAGCAAGAAAAGATAGAAATCCACAGAACTGGAAGTCAGACATTTTTCTCCAAATGCCATTGCACCAATTACTCCTGCCAAGGGGAGAACAGCATCTTCAGCATTTCTTAGTCATTGTTCCCTGTGTAGATCTTATTTTTAATGGGAATGCCTGCATGACCACTAGGGATGAAACTCTCAGAAAAATCCTGTCATTGGTTGAGGTATAATGGCCCTAAGAATCTAGTTCAGTAAACATGGGGTTCTTGTGTGCTATACTTTCCAAATGAAGTGCACACTTTGGGATTAATTACATTCTTTTCTATCTGCATGCCACTGTAACCTTTCTTTTATGCATTTTAGGGGTTGCACAATGTAAAAAGTCAAATCTATTATCTGCATGACTCTAAGGGAAAGAGCTGAGATAAAATTATGCATGTCCTTTAAATGAACAAGGCAGAAAACATTTAGTGTTGCATATTTATTTAGAACAAAATGCAGTTATAGAAGAATCAGGTTAACAACCAGGAGCAAGCCAGGGTTAACCAACTGTTCCTACACACACCAAGGTGGTTGTGCCCTGTTGTGCAAACTTTGTTCTAGCCTCGCCTGAACTTTGTACGGGTTAAGCTGTGTAGTGATCTCACAGCCTGCAATTTCTTTCATCGTGCTCTCTGTTGAGCGTATTTCCTGTGGTTTGTTGTCAAATAACATTTTTAAACTATGTAAATTTTTTTCAATCCATCAGTTATGTAAATAAGACACTCAGCCTGTTCAGGTCTTGGATTTGACACATGTTCAAGTGTTATTATGAGCTAGTGGGGAGTGTCCTCTAGAGGCGGATTTTTTTAAATTGATTCAGGTCAGTCTAACGAGACAATTCACTTAACAGCAGGATACCAAGAGAGGAAAGATAACTTTTGAAGTGGTAATGAGAGTGGTCCATTTCAGACAGTTGACAAGAAGGTGTGAGTAACAGTAGGGACACCATCAGATTAGGCCTCAATAAAGATTGGGAGTGGTTGGGTCATTACAAAACCTAAACCTATTTTCCCCAATACTAATTTCCCCCTACTGTTACTTACACCTTCTTGTCAACTGTCTGAAATGGACCACTCTCATTGCCACTTCAAAAGTTATCTTTCCTCCCTTGGTATCCTGCTGTTAAGTGAATTGTCTCGTTAGACTGACCTCACACTTGGTAAGGCAACTCCCATCCTTTCATATATTTATACCTGCTCCTGTATTTTCCACTTCATGCATCTGATGAAGTGGGTTCTAGCCCATGAAAGCTTATGCCCAAATAAATTTGTTAGTCTCTAAGGTGCCACAAGGACTCCTCGTTGTTTTTGCTGATACAGACTAACACGGCTACCACTCTGAAACCTCAGGAAAAAGTGTCACAATGATGGTGATAGATAAATAACCCTCTCAACAAAAGAGCTCTAATTTCAAGGTCCTTAAGTAGCACAGGAAAGAAAGCAGTGTTTGCTAAGCAAACCAGTGACCAAATGAACCAGGAAAAACATTTTAGTTCCAGATTTCTAAGAATATTACAGATAATGGGATGTAATGTTTTAAAAAATTGACTCCCCTCACCCTTTAAATCCTTTTTGATTCTGTACCTGGAATTTCTGATGATTAACCTGACTAACAAAGTTACTGTCTGATATTGCATTGTCATTAACAGAATCATGCTGTCACACATTGTAATGCAGATATAATTTAAGTACCTTATCTACTGGTATTTATTTAACTCACCCCGTTAGAAGTCTGTAACTGATAGAAAACACAGCCATTTGGATTTTGATGGGTGCCAGCACGTTTGAAGATATGAACCCAATCACATTCTGACAGGATTCACCATAGGGGCTTATGCTGATTTTTCAAAGACAAATTAAGAAAGTTCCGCGGGTTATAACTCCTGACACTATTGGTCACCAGTTGGGTTCACAGACAGACCTCACAGCATCAGTCCTGAAATATGTCCCTTTAGACAGTGGTTTATGTCCAACTAAACTCTTATTTAAATCAATGAAAATCTTTCTGTTGACTTCAGTGGGAATTTAATCAGGTCCTGATCTAGCTAGGATGCCTTCTCTGGTTGTGTGGAATCAGGAATGAAATCCCCTCCTAGTGTCTGTGATTAAGACCTATGTACATTCTGATGCTTTTAACTGATTATGATTAATTCTCCAGCTGGATTAACTGTTAATTTTATTATAAAGCTTTTAAAAATGCTTGGACAGGAAAAGGTATTATACAAGTTTAAATTATAACACTTGGTCACAGGTTCCTCTGTGTAACCAGCAACGGAAGTTGAAAAGAGTCATTATAAATATAAAAGTTAATTCTAATTTTAATAATTCTATTATCAGTTTAAAAGAACTAATTTTGTGCATAATTCTTATCTTTAAGCGCACATGGTAAGCATGAGACCATCTCCCAATCCATGAAGTCAATAGAAGTTATTTTAAACAGGTGTTTGTGGTTAGTGAAGATGAATTAGTAGTGTGACTAGCTCTTGGAGGATGCTGAACTGTTGCTGAGTATTGTATGGAATTGCTTTTTTTAGCAACACATGAAAGAGAAAGGTATGGTCATTCAGATCAAATTTACAAATGTGCATACCAAGTTTTGCATCAAAGTAAACAATGCTAAAGTGAAGAACATCATATTTGTGTAGATATTAAGCTAAAGTTATGCTAAATTATATTTTTAGAAGATATGGTGCATTGTTTTTGTGACAGTAACAGCCCTTTAGATAAATGTTAACTATAGACAGTGCACATCACTTAAACACTAAAAATGACAATTAATAAAGATTTTTTTTTTCAATTTATAGTTCAATAAAGAAAGGTAGTCCATGTAGGTGTATTTTGTCCATGCCCACAAAACCATTTTTATGATTTTGACAAGTTCACACTTCTGGTTTTACCTTTACACTGTCCCAGCCTGAAATATTTAATATTTAACACTCTGTATCCATAAATAATTGATGTGCCTGTCTTAGCAACTGAAGATCAGCAGCAAATTTTATTTTTGACAAGAGTAATAAGGTTCTCTTGCCTTCTTAGCTTTTTTATATTACATGTTAATTTCACTGTGCTGTTAAGAACATGGGATTGACTTCTTCCAGTTTAAAATAAAGAGCTGTAGCATTCCATTCATTTTGGGAAAGATCTTTAGGGGAAAACTAGGATACCCTTTGGGCAATTCCAGCCATGGAGCGTTACTATTTCTATATTTTTGTCAGTACAAGCCTCCCTGCTCTGACATCACACGAGAAATAATAATTGTAATGCTTAGGACAGTTT